TGAATGAAGCTTATTAGAGCCACATTGCCATGAAAGGAAGCAAGAAGCAAAAAAGAAAAAGAAAAAAGAATGCCTTTCTCTGCTTGGGACTCCTCAAGAGTAGAAGCCAGACTGTCATTCTCTTTCTCTGACTTCTGTGTTTTCCTCCTCGATCAGTCCCACTCCCGCCCAGTGCATAATTCTAGCATCAGTTTATGAAACACACAGCATAAGAACTGCCTGCATAAGAGCAGAGATTATTCTTCTAGAGATAATGTCACTTGCCAACTACATCTCTGCTCAAAATTATACTGTACTTGCATTTTGTTACCATTTGCAAACATTATTTCAGTCTGAAAATGAATTTGACTTTGTAACACATTGCAGAATGTTCAAACTTGGGATTTTTTCTGATGCTTTCCATAGTTCCTAAAGCCTTTTCATCAACTGAACTCCCAGAGTACTGATGAGTGTCACCAAACTTTTCCTATACTTCCACAAGCACATCCCGGCACAAGCAAGAAATGTAGAGAGATTGGCATCATTGCAGTTCTACCTCAAGAACTCACAAGTCACAGACAATTAACTTGTAACAGTAGAAGAGGTGGCAGTGGAAGGAGCTGGGCCTTGCCAAGAAGGTAAGGCCAAGGAGAGGAACAGGTTGTGGCCAGAGAAGCCAAGAAGCTGGTCTGAAAGGCTTCTCCTGCCACCAGTTCTCCACCGCTATCAGATGCTGTACTTGTGGAATAAGCATTACAGCTATGACGTCCATTTGGCAACAGGGACAGGCAAGATTTTTTTTCTTTCTCCGTTGCTCTATTTCATTTCAACATTAAGACCTCATTTATTGCGGGGGGAGGGGTTGTCTTCCTATTTGTTTCGGTACTCATTGGTCAAATGTGCATTAAATTCATTCATTCACTGGCACTCAAGGTGGCTTCCTGTCACAGCACCTTGGCACGAATCCCATGCCCCCTGCACTCACTGTGGAAAGGTCTCTGAGCTTGTGTGTGTCCTCTGCATGGAACAAGGTGTGGCTGTGATGGTTTCCATCATGCCTCACAACATGCATTTTATCTAGACCACCATTTTTGGCCATCTAGATAAAGTCTGTGGACGAGGATGGATGGACACTGGAGAACCAGTAGCAATCCGAACAGGTAGATAGTCCTTGCACACTCCTTTTCCCTCTCACCAAGGCTCATTTCTGCTCTTACAGAGACAGCTAGTACAGTTCTTTCTGTACTGGCTGCAAAGGGGTCAGGGGATCAGCTGACAGAGTCTGAGCCCCAGGGTTGGAGGACCTCATCGGTGGTACTCTGAAGAATTCTGTCCCTTCCATCAATGATGTGGGGGAGGGGGCCTAGGATTGCACTGTTAGAGAACCAGTTAAAATCAATTAAAATAGTACATTAATTGAATTGATAACTGAAAAAATGTTAAGAAAAATGGCACCCACCACACCAGACTGACTTACCGTTTAAAGGCCTTGTTAGATAAAACTGTCCTTGCCTACTGGAAAAAAGGCCACTGGCATTAGCTTCCCTTGGGTGGAAGGTTCATGGCCTATTTGGCCACTTCCAGCTCTAATGTGTGATTCTGAGGCCCAAGAGTGGCCACTGAAAAGCTCCTCTCTCAGGTTGCCATTCAACATGCCTTTGAATGTGGTGGCCTCAAGGCTCTTATGATAGAAGGCAGTCTTTCAGGTAGCCTGATCCCAAGCTGGGTTGGGCTTTATATACAGCTGTCAGAATTCTTCCAGGAAGCAAACTGGATGCCAGGGAAGCAGTTCTAACAAGGGTGTTGTGGCTCTGTAAGCAGCCCCAAACTGAGGGTTGCTTCATGGTGGCTCCTATTTTACATGAATAAAATATGGTTCCAGAATATTGTGGGAGGAAATGGTGCCTTCTGCAGATAAAATGGCACTTTCTGCTGGCAGCTGCCATTTTTTGTAATAGTTACCATTTATTTACCCACAGTGCCATGGAATGATGCAACTTACAAAGCATTGCGGGTAAATAAAAGGCTTCTGCTGTGGCTAGTGCAGAGAAGCCCATCTTCAGTGGCACAAATGTCAGGGCATGTCCAATTTATTCTCTGTACTTTTCCTCTTGGTGGTCTGTCTTATTCATTCTTCAATAGCACTGCTCTGCAGATGACATTTAATTCTCTGTCCATCTCTCCCTCCTCCTGTTTTCAGACATCTCCCTATGACTGACTACCATCACTTCCTGTGTGTCTGAAAACTGCCTCAAACTTAATATGGAAAAAAAACCAGGACTCCTTGTCTTTCATCTAAAGTGTTCCCTATCATCTGTCTCCTTTACCACCAATATTCAATCATTTCACAGCAGGCCTGAAGCTGGAACATTAACTTTGGTTTCTCATTTTTCTGTTCTTGCACTGATTTTCAAATTCAACCCTACCTTTTCTATCTTTATATGATTGTTAAAACTGGTTCCTGCGCATCCTACTGATGCATCTAAAACCTTTATCTCTAGGAATATGCTGCTTTCTGACCTTCCTGTTTACATCTGGAGCCCCTCATTTTGGACTTTAACAATTCTACCCAGCTTTTTGTTTTATCTTGCACACTGACATAATAACCTCTCGCTTCACCCCTCCTTCCATTTCCTATGCTTCTTTTTAAGGTATCCATCATGGACGTGGACTTGGCTATTTTCTTTGTAGTTGCCTTCCTGCAGTCTTTGTTCTTCCAATATCTACCAGGTAAAAACGTTGGAGTTTACGTTGTTTTGCAAGCTCCTGTGTTTGTATATCATCCTGGTTTTGCTTTGGTTTGAGAAATTGATCAGCACTTTTAAGAAGTGGGATCTATAGAAACCTCAGTCCTCATTCCATGCCCATGTCATGTGAGTTCTTGAGGTATTGCTGCTTGCTAACTATGATCATGCTAATGTCTATCATACACATTATGTGCATTATCTGTCTCTTTTGCAAGTGCTCAAGATAGGCAGATATTATTTTCATACAGGGCACTGGGTGCTAAGAGTCTTATTCTTTCTTGGACTGTCACCTAAGATCATCTAATGTAGCTGAAGAGACATTTGAGCCCAACAGCTCCCAATGCCAGACCTCCACTCTTAGCCATCACACAATGCCAGTACTAATAATGAAGGTAATCAGTGTTTCACAGCGATTATCCCTAGCCCCATGCCTAGTGGTGTTGAATTGTACATACAACTTCAGCTTTCACTAGATCACCAGCCAAATGTCCCATTTAATTCAATGATGTTTTCAGCCTGCTGTGTTTTCTCTATAGATTGAAAGGCTAGAAATGCAGAAAATATGGAAAAACTAATTTTTGCATAACATAGCATAGGTATAAGTATTGGGAGAATTTTGTGCATGTATGTGTGCATGTGAGAGGCAGAAAGTGAAATGAGGGTGAGCAATAAAGCTATGAAATAAATGTAATATAGGGCTAAACATGTCACATACATGCAACTAATAGTTCGTTCCAGTTCTTCAGATCACTAAAAATATTTTATATGCTGATTGATTGTGTGTGATTTTAGCTTGAGAGGGATTTAGTCTTGGCCAATTTGGGAAAACTGGCGACTCCCCCTACCTTCCTTTACTTTCCTTTTTAGGCCCCATGTTATAAAAAACCCAACAAAATCAAAACAGGAAGAACAATTTTGTTTGATACTTTTATTTATATGCAAAACAGCGCACCATTCATGAGAGATATGAAAACTGCTTCAGATAGAAACCAGATTTCTCTATTTTCACTACAAAATATTGCTTTTACAAAGCAACACACACACGCGCACACACCAAAAAACCCTGAAAAAGACTAAAATCTTTGGATAACAGACGCATCATTTCATCTTCTTTCTCTAAAACATATTTCTTGTTTTAAGAGATTCACAGCAAAAGAGCATGAAATATTTTCTGGTTGTATTTTTTTTTTGGTTGTCATAAAGGAAAGTAGTCCTGTTTTTCCTTTAAAAAAAGTCTGTAAAAAACAACACACATACACACGCTCACAAAGAGACCCAAGGGACGAACAAAAACTACTTCCCTTATAAATGGTTTGCAAAATACTTTTAAAGACAGAATTACATGTCAGAATAACAACACACACTTTTTATGATTATTTTTTTTAAAAAACCCTTCAAGTGAAGTGCTAATATTTTGAATCCAGACATAGAATAAAGAAAAATTCTCAAGGACATAATCTGAATATATAAAATACGTTTAGAAACTGGGAAGTGGTGCAATAAAACCAGAATAAAATGTAACGCACAATCTGGTTTCCAACAAACACTTCCAAAGTTAAGACATATATTCCACAGAAGAAGAAAATGTAAACACTTGACTAGCGAAAACCAGTTGGCACAGTCTTCAACGCAAAATTTTCACCACTCTCAAAAATTAAAAAATAGCCTTGGGAAAAAATAGTCTACTTCTTCTAACAAATTAAAAAATAAGTAGTTATTCTGAACTGCACTCCTGGATCACACGTTTAAGGTCACAAATAAATGAGATTTTTATTTTTGGATATAGAGAAGGGGGTCACTTGACAGTCCGCATTTTTGTGTGTTTTCCTAATCCAAGAAAGGAAGTACGCCACCTTTTACAAAGGGTGTGTCGTCACTTTTAGGCGGCTGTGACAGGTGAAGCATCCTAGCAAGCATCCGACCCCCCCGCCCCGGGGCACCCCTCCATTTCAAGTTTCTCTGTTAGGGCCCGATTCAGGAAAGCCCTTTAAGGCACGAGCTTAAAGCCGAGGAATCTCCCGCCAAGCTTCCGTCGGGTTCTTAAACACTTTGCTGAATTGGGACCCTACCGCGCGTGGAGGAGCGGAGCGGAGCGAGCAGAGCGGAGGGGCTCAAAGGCAGAGGCGGGCCAAGCCCGCGGCCGACCGCCGGGGCTGCCAGCCAGAGGGGCGCCTGGCGTCTCCCGCGAGGGCCCCGCCCCGCCCCGCCCACGCCTCCCCGGGGTCACCAGCCCCACTGTCCGGTCCGGGGGTCCGGCGCGCATACCTGCCTGGCCTACACGTCGAGGACGTGGTTGAGATAGGAGATGTAGCAGATGGCCAGGCGCAGGATCTCGATCTTGGAGAGCTTCTTGTCGGGCGGCAGCGTGGGCAGCAGCTTGCGCAGCTCGGCGAAGGCCAGGTTGAAGGCCTCGACGCGGATGCGCTCCCGCGTGGCGTGGGCCGAGCGGTACTTGGCGGTGGCCCTCCGGCGGCGGCGTTTCTCCTCGCGGCTCAGCGGCTGCTGTGGGTGCGGCGGCGCCGGGCGCCCCCTCTCGCCGTCGGGCGCCTCCAGGTCTGAGGCGCAGCAGCTCCGCAGCCCCTTGGCCTCCAGGGACTCCGGGTCGGACGGCGCTGACGATGAGGACGGGTGGTCCGAGTCCACGGCCTGGTCCGGGCTCAGCATCATCTGCCGGGCGGGGCGAAACACACAAGGCAGTCAGCGCCGCCAAGACTAAGCGGCGGCTCCAGGCCCCCCGGCCGCCCTCCTCCTCGTCCCCCGGGCGGGACGCCCCCGGAGCGATCCCTCTGAGCCGCCGCGAGGGCGGGTGGTCGGGCGGCACCTTTCTCCGGACGCACCGCGGGACCAGGTGGAAGTCCTTTGGGGCCGGGGCTAGACGGAGAGGGCTGCTCTCTGGATATGGCGGGAGGGCTTCGTATGGACGTAGTGCTTTGTGCTAGGTCCCCAGCGTTCGCCCGAAAACTAAGGCGGGCCCGCTAATCATACCCTCTGCTTTAACGTGCCCTATAACTGGGTTTTCCCAGGCGGATTACAAAATAGCATGCCCTTGCATATAAAATCGTACAAGAAAAGAAACGCAGTGCAACGCAACAAACGGCATAGGACCAGATAAAGACAATCCTAAGTAGGAGCCACGAACAAAACTGGCCCTGCCTCCCCAGGGCCTGGGACGTGACCGCCCCTACGGAGGCGTGGTCATGCCAGGAGAACCCCGTAAGATCGGCCACATGCAGCATCGGGCACGCTCGAAGGCTCCCGAACAGCTCGCGCGTCTTTCCGGCCAGCAGGCCTCTTGCGGGGGCGCGACGGGCAAGCTGGGCACGGCCGCCCGCCAGGTTTGGCCCAGGCGCCCCGCTCCACGCGGGCGCTCGCCTCGTACCTCAGCTGCCCCAGGCTCCGCGAAAGCAAGGCCTGGCCCGTTTGGCGCCGCCTGCGCTTGCCAGTGCCAGGCTGCAGGCACCGGGGAACAGAGGCGAGAGGGCGCGGTCGAGCTGGGGCACGCCTTTTGTTGCAACGCTGCTGACTAAGCGGAGGATGCTCGATTGCTGGGGAAGTTTGGGAAGCGGTGAAACCCCGAGAAGTTTTGTCCGGGACACCTTCCCTTTGGGCCTGCGCCGTCGCCGTTCCACGTTGCCGCGCTCCAGGAGATGCCCTTCGCCCCCGACTCTTGCAAGCAGCCGGGGTGGGGGGGGGCCCTCCGGAAACACTGCACATCGATGTTTTCAAGGTCCAAGCCGTGGTGCCTCTGCTTCTCCTGCCCTTGGAAATAGTTTCCGCAACTGACGTTAATGCGGCATGAAAGATTCGTTGCATGCTTCCTCGGAAGTAAGTCACCTTGATTTCAGTGGGACTTACCCCCAAGTCTTCACGGAGCTCGGATCCCTTTTCACTGGGGATGTAAACGAACTTGCGCCCGTGTTTATGGTCGTGGTTTCAGACAGCCAGGCTGCCTTGCCACTGCTTAAAGGTCTCCAAAGACATTCTGGAGCCAATTTCGAAAGACGCTCCCGGTCCCCGCGACGCTGCATCGCGCGCAGCGAAGCCCGGGCTGAGACGATGCCTGGGGCCTCAGCACGGTGTCCAGAGGCGCCCGGAGGATGCACCGAGCTGCCTGCGGTTCGCATTGTGCACCGCAACTGCTGCGCGCAGGGCTCGGGCTCGGGCTCGTCTCCCTCATCCCCTGAAATGGCGAGGGGGTGCGCGGCAAGCATGGCGCCACCTCTTTTGCCCCTTTCTTGCCACGCTCCGGGAGGCCACCAAGCACGAGGGCAGGCCTGACGGGAGATCCCCCACCACCAGGGAACTGGGCGGCTGCATCCCAGACTGCCCAAATGACCCTAGTCACAAGAAATGTCGCTGGCACAGAAGGAGCCCTTATTCTCTCCCACCCCTGCCCTGCATGCCAGCCGCAGGCGGGCCCAGGGTGGTAGGCAAGGCGGGCCCGAGCCTCACAGGTGCCAAGAGCTGGGGGAGTCCTCTCGGCCTCTGCCTCCATGAAGGTGCTTGTCCAAGTGCAGCCTGGCTTTTCTTAACAGGCAAATGGGACGGACCAAGGCGGCTCGGATGCCTGGCTCCGCAGGAAAGCGGGAGTCACTGGAGGACGGCACGGGCGTACAGAGAGCGCCCCCGGCCCGCCTCTTCCCGAGAGCCACAAGTCTCCTCGACGGCCTCCTTTCTCCAAGAGGCAAAGGCCTTTCTCGGCAGGCCCCATCCGCTGGCGGGCTCCGTTGGCCCGGCTTGCGAGATTCGCGCCTCCGGGAGACTGTGGCGAGGCGGGGGCCGACCTCCGTCAGGACCCGGCGTTTTACAACGAGGCCCCGCGGACTCCCCGAGCACCAGCAACCCATCCCTGGAGACGGCCCACGGGTGCGCCGGCGGCTGGCTGCGCAGGAGGCCGCCGCGAGAGCGCAACCACCGTGGCGGCGCTTGGCCTTGCGCCTGGGCGAGGCGCAGGCGAGGGACGGGCGCCGCCGCCCAAGGCCGACCGCGGTCTGCCAGCCCGGCAGAAGGGGAGGGGGGAGTGGCTCCGGCTCGCAAGGAGCGGGCAGAAGGGGAGGAAGCGCTACGTGGGAACGGGGGAGCGGTGGCGACTGCTTCCGTCGAGGCTTTGTAAACGGAAGCATTTTCGTGTGACAAACCGTCCCGATTCTAAAATAAAGATCTTTGCTCCTTGTTGTTTCGTGTCAAAAGTATTCGTACGAATTAAACGCTTCTAAAGTTGCTGAACCGCGAGCAGTCAAAAGTATAAAGAAATCAGAGAAACCGAACACAAATGAAAGACGTAGCGGGGGCAAATACCAAACACAGAGTTCAAATACGAAAAATCCAGAGGGGGCAAAACGTGCCAAGCTCCCAGGGTGGAACTGGGCGAACAATGAGCGAGTAACTCAAGCCGCGCTGGTTCTGGGGGGTTTCTCGCGGGGGTGGGTCGCCCCACCCGGAATTGCCATTTATTTAATCTTGTAATCATTTTAGAAATGCTATTTTCGACCGTAGTAGTAAACATCACAAGAGACGCAATCCAGATCAAACTAACAATTCACTTTGGCTGCTACGAACGAAATTTTTCAACCCCGACTGAAAACTGGAGACGAGGCTGGCAGTGGCTGTCAATAACAGTCAAAGCAAGCGGTCCGGTTGGCGTTTGCAGCCGCTCAGCATTCCGATTTAGAGCACTGCACAGCTCAGCTTTGGACCGAAGTTCTCCCAGAGAAGCCTGTCCTGTCCCGCACTTCACTTGGAAGCAAGCCGCTTGGATTTCCATGGAATTTACCTCCAAGTGAATTCTGCTTAAAATGCTCGCTGCTCTTAGGTTTGCGGTTAGGTAACAGTCGCCTCGGAACCGGTACTGTGTACATCAATATAAAAATATATCCGTTTCCCTTTGCTAAAGTGGAACACTGCCAGACTCACCTGTACATTTTATTATTTTTAACGGAATTTACCTTGTAGGAGTTTTTTCAACAATCTTTAAACGCCTCCGACGCCTTTTGCGCCTCAAATAATATTCCAGAAGGGGGGCATCTTATTCTTAAAAATAAAATAAATGTAAAAGGAGGGGGGGGAGAGAGAGAGAGAGAACGCGTGCTCCACGTATAACAAATGAATTAAAATGTAAAAAAATAGCCTATCACTAGAAGCAGATCTGAGTCGTTTTCATAGGCTCGCAGGTCGAGAGGAGGAGGATAGATAATTGTCAACAAACAAGGTACTTTTAGGAAAAAAATAAAATGCGTTAGGAAAACAGCCTTCCCATCGTTTTTTGTTTTGTTTCTTTCCTGGGAGAGCAAAACACTTCTGCAGGTCTATAATATATCACACTTAATTGTGCGGATATTTTAAAAGGATGCTGGAAAGCCGCCGCCGCCTCCTCCTCCTGTCAGATCGCAGCAAATAACAAAAGAGAGGGCGCGGGCGATAAAGGACGGTGGAGACGAGCGAGAAGGTTTGGGTCCCCTCAGCAGCGCCAGTCAAGGAAGGATGCCGCGGCCCGGGCTTCGGATCCGATTTCGCTCTGGAGTCAGTTCGCTTCGCAGCGAGAAAGGCTTTTGTTTAGATGACGCCTTCCTCCCTCGTTTTTCTCGCGGGCGGCACCTGCGAACCGGGAACGACCCTGCTCCTCTTCTAGGAAAGGAGGAAGTCACACCGGCTGGATTTCTTTTTGCAGCCCATCAAGATCCGATCTGCATTGTATCCCAACACCTCTTGGAGCCAACAGACCAGCAAGGACTGATGGAGACAGCCGGGCCTCTCCGAGCGCAGAGAAAAACGGGACAGCGGGGCGGGGAGAGAGGCGACTGGGTTCCCTCCCCGTTCCAGTGGGTCTAGCCCGGCGAAGCTGCAAGATATAAAGGCGTAAGAGAGCGCCGGGGAGGGGGAGGGGCAGGCGGCATATTCCCCCCCCCCGAAGTTGCTACCCATTGGGCGATCCCATTGGACTGCAAGCGAGATGCAAGTCGCTTAATTGGACTTGACATCTGTCACCGTGTGGGAGTTTCACAGCCCAAATATTGTCAGCCGGCAGCTCTGAGTCTCCCCCATCCTCACCAGCAAAACAGGAGAGAAGGAGACCCCTCCCCGCATCCTTCTCTCCAGGGCGAATTCACACAGGCATGTTCATCACTCCCTAATTACAGAATTTCTTGCTGGCTTGCATGTGTGAAACAGCAGCATCAGGTCAGTCCTTCCTGATCCAACCCCCCCCCCCCCCCCCCGCATCTCTTTTCTGTAAATTTTCCAGAGAAGAGATCTGGAGAGCTTGCACATGTTTTATGATCTCTGAGTTGGCCTAATAACATTACTCTGTTATAGACTAAACTGCAAAGTTTTTTCAGTTGCGGTAGTTCATATGTGCAGATCTGCCTGGCATTAAGGCATAAATGGGCAAGGGATTATTTGGCCCCATCAAGGTTTTCCAAGGAGGAGCAAGTTATCATATTTAGAATTGGACACAAGCCTAGTATCAGAATGAACCCCCCCCCCCCCCGCCGCCACCACTACAGGTAACCCCACATTTGTAGAAAAACAATGGCCTCTAAAGTGACCAAAGCAATAAATATATGTTGCTACTGATGGAGAAAAACAAATGGTGGAATGACAGGGAACAGGAGCTAGTGTGAAGCCTGCATTTTGCTCCACATTATTCAAGTTCCTCTTTTATAAAGGCA